CACCACTGTGGCTGGAGAGGTTTCCTTCATGTAAGGGCAGGGTTAATCAAAATCCATTATAACTCAGTACTTTACCAGGGGAGCTTAATACAAAATATTGACATTTTAAAAGCCTCAGCCAAGCCCCATTGAATCCAGGGAGACTCTGAGCACGTGCTGGGCTGAGACTTGTGAACTCTGGAAGAGCTGTGCCATCTTCCACTTTCTGTTCTTATCTTTATCTTAACATTTTGGAGGAGCATAAAAAGCCAGAGCAGTGCTAGGTTGAATTTCAGCCTCTTGGTCACAAGGAAAGGGAGCAAATGTGCTTTCCTTTAATCTGGGTAGGTCACAGGTGCAAAACGATTTCCTTCCTTTGCCATATTTTCTGTATCTCTTCTTCATGTCTAGGAATCTATTCCTGGATGTAATGGAGCCTCAGGACAGCTTGCATGGATCAGAGCAAACACAAATTAGTTCTGCCCCTCTTGCAAGGATGCTGTTTGTTTATGAAAAGCAATAATTTCTTCTTTTGAGAATCCAAAAACTTTGTGACAGCACCAACATTTCCACCTCCCTAGGAAAAAAAAAAAAGGAACATTTCTTTTGGAGGCCTTTTCTAGTGAAATTCAAACTAGGGTTGATATGGTTTTAGCATTGCCCTGCAGGGTCTGAAAACGGTTTTAGAAATGACACAGACTTTGAGACAGAAGAAACAAAGCTCTCCAAAATCTCTCCAGGCTGCCTGAGAGTCTTGGTAGGAATATGTCAGCCACTAAACTGTGTTTCTACTCTGAAGTTTCACAGTGTCATTTGAGCCCTGCAGTTTGCCTGGAAGTTTTTTTGTTAGGATTTACATTTTAGCTTTGGCTGATGGACCACAAATCAGTGTTTATAATGTCAGCCTTTTTACCAAGCGTGTGGAGAAATAGAATATATTCTCATTAACCCTAGTGAAAATAGGAGCTTTAGTGAAAGACTTCTGAGCAGAGTGCAGCACCAGGCAGGCTTGGGAAGCACAGCTGGTTTGCTTGGATCTTTCTGCTTCTGCAGATTTTATTCATGTCAGCTGTACCATCGAATATGTCAGATTTTGGGCTCCTTTGAGTCCTGCAGAGCTCCCAGCAAAGTGAAACAGAGGAGATAGGCAGCTACCTACATCCTTTTGGCCTTGCTTCATGTCTGTTGACTTTCAGTTTTCCTTAAAAAACCCCACCACCTTTTTTCTGCTTCTTCCAGCATTCCTTCTTTTTCATGCCAAGGAGATGCTTGTTTTTAAAAGTTGTGGCCTCCCTGCAGGTGGTTGTTAACAGCAGGGCTCGGGGACAATCAGGCTCAGTTCACGGCCTGTCAGGGAGCTTCCCAAGGTGTCTGTGGGTCTGCACAGGAGATTTTGGGGTCCGCAGGCCTTGCCATGTGTGCCCAGCTGTGCAGCTTGTGGCGAGCAGCCCCGTGGCCGTGGCGGCGGTGCCTGGCGCCAGCGCCCGCCCGCCTCCTGCCAAGCTGGACACAGCTCTGACAAAGGACAACTGTTTGCAGGAGTTGTTGTCCTGCTTGGTGCTCCTAATCCCTGGGATAACTGCTGTGACAAGCATAGTAACCATCTGCAGTGAGGCTGACACATTGGTGCCTTTCAAGTGCAAGGATCGCAGCCACTTCCTCGGCCCCTTTTTTCTTGGCTTTGCAAAAATTTTCAAAAGCAAGATGGGCAGTTGGAAGCTCAAGTCCTGGATGAGTTGTCAGGAGTTGTAGTCACTCTAAGGTGACCTTTGGAAATGCTACTTTTAACTGTTTGAAGAGTATCAAGCCCACTTCAGCTATTTATACTATTTTTTTAAATCATATATGAAGCCCCACAAGTCCATCTTACACATGCTGGGCATTTGGAGAATATATGTCCAGTTTTGCCCAACATTCCCAGCCTTAGAGAAGGTTAGATTTCACAGTCTAAAAACAAAATGGTAGCAGAAGGCATGTGTCTGCTGACTTCTGTGCAAACTCTGATGTGCACTAATCCCAGGGACTGGGCATTAACTTCTTTTTACCTTCACTAGAGCCTGGGCTGTGTGGTTGTCCTGCTGTTCCCTGAAGCAGGCTGCTGTGGTATCCAGAGCACCAGGATGTAGTACAGGGTTTAGGCAGGCTTTTTTGCATTTGGAGGCACATCCACCCTATGGATTTATGTGCTCATACATCTGCAGCAGTACAAACAGAAAGATGTCCTGCATTGGCAGTTTAGTTTTTATTGCCTCACTCAAAAATTCCCAATTTAGATCAATGCAGGGAGTCTGTGTTCTAGATTTGCATTTTTGGCATGGTAATCCTTTGAGATTTTGATTTACACTGAAAAATTTCTTATAAGTGTGATTTTTTTACATTAAAAGCAATTATTGCATTCCAGTTACGACTCTTGAGGTAGGCCATGCTACCTAAAGGAAAACTGCCCTGCTTGCATCTGGCAAATCAGCTAAATGACCAAAACTTCTATTCAAGTATCTGTCACTCTGTCAGACTGGTAATTTGGTTATTTGACCATTTCCCTGGGTATTTGAGAAGAGCTAAGCAGGAGCTGTGGCTGCGAGACAAGGCAGATGGCATCATAAATACATAATGGAAATGAAGCCAAGCTCCAGGAGGGGAGGCTTTGGGGGTGGATGGTCTTGGTCTGTCTGGATGCAAAGCCCTGGAGAACAGCAGAGCCCCTGGTGCAGCCGGGGAGGAGGGAAATTCCCCAGCTCCCACCTTCTTCCCTGCAGCTGTGGAACAATGGCCCAGATCTGCTTTCACACCACAGCTGGGGACACACAGGCTGCTTGTGTGACAGGGAAATAATTAATTCCAATTCCCTTTCTCTTCTGGGCTAGGGTCAGAAAAGCAAAGTTTCCTACCCTGAAAAACAGAGGGAAAATGGTTTAATTGCTTATTTGAATAAATTGCCTCAATGTTTAAATTTTTCACTCCATGAGAACTTTGATAGCGAATATTATTTTCAAACAAGAGCTGAAAAGGGAGCTCGGTCTGTGGGAACTCAGTATTTCACCTCTCTGCCATTTACCTCCCAAATATCCTGCTCCTTCGTGCCCACCAGCTGGCAGGAGGTGAGGCAGGAAATGCCCATTTGTCTGTGCTTCCTTGGCATGGTGCTTCTCACCTCCCTTTCTCCCAAAAACAAGAGCTGTTTTTATGGCACTGACAAAACAGGATGGTGGAGCTGTTAGACAGAAACCAGTCAGGAGCTCCCAGCAGAAGCTGTCAGTGAGACACTTGGCACATGTGGAGGTCATGTTTCTTTTCTTTTTTTTTTTTTTTTCCATTTCTTATTTCCTCTGTTCTTTTCTTTTTTGTCATTTTGCTGCTTTTTTTTCATTCCTTGCTTTTTAGTGAGCAATTTTCTGGGAGAACCCCACAGAATGCAGGGTTTGTTGTGCACAGAAGCCCTGAGATGGCATCCATCCCACCTGTGCTGTGTTGTAGCTCCCAAAATCATTTCCAAGTGCAGTGTAGGGACACTGTAGGGAACAGAAGATGGAAATCTCGGGCTGGGCAGGTTAGAGAGCAGGAAACACCACGGCAGACACAGCCTAGCAGTGGGGACAGGAGCTGCTCCCACATGCTTTCACCAAACAGCTCGAGGGTTCAGGACGTGCAGCTGCCAACCCAAAGTGCAGCAGAGGAGGAAGCCATTTGAACTGTAGCTGCTCCAGTCAGTTGGCCTTTTGCCCTCTCAGAACCTGGGATCCCAATAAAACCCTGCCATGGCTGGGTCCCCAGCTGGATGATGTTTGCATCTGCTGGTGACCAATGTGGGATTTATCAGCGTGGAATCAGCCGTGACCTGTTTATTCCTCGGCTGATAAACTCAATGAGCTCCATGTGTTTGGTGGAATCCTCCATGTGTGTTCTTCTCCCTGGCCAGGAAAGTGGGGGCTGGATCAAATATCCACTGGGTTTGATAGATCTCTCCTGTGACAGGGGGGTCACAAGGATTTGTGTGCTTCAGAATGTGAGATCAGTGTGCCCTGCAGTGGGAGCTGTCTGCATTGCTCTTAATGCATCTTGAAAGTGGAAAATGTGGGCTTTTGGCTTACTTTATGACTCAAGATGTGTGAATCAGCTAATTAACTAATGAAAATCTGGAATTTTGCATGGCATTTTAAGATTAAAAGTGTTGCAAATACTTGTGCATTTCCTGCTAATTCAATGGTAGCATTGCTGCATGTGAATGAGCCATTGGGGGGCACCTTTGAACTCTTCTGTTCACAAATTTTGGACATTCACCTGCTCCTTAGCAAATCCTGGTGGTTTCAGTAGGGACAGGGTTTGCTTGAGAAAGTTAATTTAGGTTCTTGGTGAAGAAACACCTGAACAGACAGATTTTGTTTTCATATGTCACAAAGAACTTGTTTTGGTTTTTATAAATTATTGGCTCTTTATTTACTTTTGGATAAATTAAATTATTATCTATATGTATTGGATTTTGGGGGTTTGGGCTTATTTTCTTTTTTAATTGGAGTTTTCCAATAAGGGTAAACTTTTCCTAAAGTCTCACTGGTTCACCCAGAAGAGCTTTGCCTGTGTTGATGGAATCCCAGCTGGAAGGGAGGCAGGTGCTGGGATGTGGTGGTGTAGAGCAGCAGGAGCTTTGGGGAGATGGGCTGGGAGTGCTCTTCAGGCTCTTAGTGCTGCATGTTACCAGATCCTGCTCACACCCTGATGAATTTTGTGCAAAGCAGAAAGAACTGTGTAAATGAGTGCTTAGAGTGACTCTATGAGACATTGAATTTTATGCTGCAGCTGGAGAAACTTATCCTTAATTGAAGCTGTGGGCAAGTGTATGTCATTTTTGATTTAACATTTTCCCTCACCCTTCCACCCCCACCCCAACCAAAAATCCTCTGTGGAGTCAGATTGTTGCTGTAGCTTTGTGAACCCCTCTCTTCTAATGTTTAATCAAGTGCTGAAAAGAGACATTTTAAGACTATTTAAAATGTGGAAAAATTGCTTCCCAATATTTTTGACAGAGAGAGACTGAGAACACACAGCATTGAATCATCAGGAAAATTGAAGATTTCCCCTGAGCAACATTGGGATTTTACAGCAGAGGACTTGAAAGACCTTGGAGAAATTGGACGAGGCGCTTATGGTTCTGTCAACAAAATGGTCCACAAACCAAGTGGGCAAATTATGGCAGTTAAAGTAGGTGATGCCCATCCTTACATTTGTACTTTAGTCCATTGGGATGCAGTGTGATGGAGAATTAAGGTTCTTCCATCTAGCACCCATCTACTGCTCTGTTCTATTTATTTCTGGTGTAAAGGCTGCTGTTTGCTGAAAATACAGTGTATAATGGGCATGTTTTCAGGTGATTTGTGAAGTTCTCATAATTGCTGTGCCCTTTTCAAAATGTCTATCAGGAGCCTGCTGTTCTGAGGGGATCACTCGTCTCTGGAGACTGATGATGGGGCACGGGCCTTTCACCTCTGGGTCACTGGTTCAGGTACAGCCTAGGCTGGTGGTAGGCACAGCTTGACATCTCATAGCTTCTTGGTGTCTTTTGTGAAATAAGGTAATGGCTTAAAATTAGCTGTTTATGTCAGCATGTGGTGTGGCCTCGCCAGGAGGAGCTGGAATGGAGTGGATGTCCTCTAGGGAATGTTGTGCTCTTGCTGATGTGTGATGGAGTGTCTGCTTTGTGCTCACCATGTCAGACTGTCCTGGAGGTGGAAAGTCTAGCAGGTTTCTTGACCATTTTCTGCTTTATGCTACCCCAAAACTTGCCTTAGAACCAGGAACGGCCTCCTCTCCCAGCTGGGCAATAATTGCCTGTCTTGCCACAGCAGTGCTGCTCACTGGGCATCTTTGAGGAGCTGCTTGTCCATGGAGGTGGCAGCAGCTGTTCCCTGTCTCTCTGGTCCTTTCCTTTGCTCACTGCAGGTTGCTAATGACATCTGTCTTTAACTCTGTTGATGATATTAACTGTAAGTGCTCTTATGGCTCCCAGGAGAAAGCAGAATTGAGCTATGTAGGAGTCTGTGTTGCTGTCTTTTCTACTCTCTGTCTTCTTCAGAATATTCCCTGGAATCTGGAGACATTTGCCCCTGCTGGTCTCACATGCCAAGCAGACACATCTCAGCCCCAGCTGCTCTGAATGTAATTCCTACCTGTCTCTGGTGTGTCAGGTTACTGGAGTAACCCTCATCCCTTGACCTGCTCCAGTAAATACTGACTTCCTCACAGTGCTGGCATCCCTGCTTAGGTCTCTTGAGTGTTTTTGATCACCATGCAGTGCTGTTTCAAGCTGGGTTTGAATCCCTGAAAGTCTCCAGTGGAGCCAGAGGTTGCCTGTAGCTAAATGCTGGTTTCTTTCAGTTGCCTTTGGCAGAACTCATGGGTGTAGTTTGCAGGTGACAGGTTGAAAAATGTTGGTGTAGTGCAATGGTCCCTGGACAGCTCCATCCTCTCAGACTCAGGGTGTGTGGCCTGGGTAGCAAAACTGTAGTTTTGCTGAGGGTGTGAACCCCCAGGACAGAGTGGCTGTTCCCTGGAGCTCTGCAGTGGCTACAGCCATGTGGAGAAGGACTTTGTTGGATTACCTCGTGTCATGGAGAAGCTGTGTCTGCTGGCACAGGGCTTCTCTTGTCCCACACTGTTTGCACAAGGGCTTTTCAGCACCTTGGTAGGTGAGCCTTGTTTGAGGGCCCCTGGTGCAGGTACAGCCTGTGGGAGGCAGAAGGCACCAGTTCTGTGTCCTTGAAGCACATGGCTGGAGATGGCACAGTGCCGCATGTTGAGCTGGCTTTCCCAAGGGATGAGGTGTGTTCTGAGCCTTGGGGTTCTGGGCTTGGGGGCTCACTTTTAAACAAGTAAATCTGATTTATTTACAGTGACTAAACTGTGAAATATTAAAGTTATTGGCTGGGCTGGTGCCACCTTCTTTTCTCTGACCCTGTTTCTTTCAAGCTGGGGAAGAAAGGTTGAAGGGTTTGGGCAACAGCATCATTTCTACAACAGTAGTGGTAAGCAACTGTTCTGTTTGTCCCAGCAGGGAGAAAACACAAAATTGAGCAAAGGAAGATCAGTGGTGGAACAGTCAGTGAGGCCTCCAAGGCAGCAGCAGCAATTCCCCAGACTGGATGATGCAGTTCTTGGAGATGAGGTTTCAGGATGGGGCTGAGCTTGGCCTAGTGACTAGTTCATCCCACCCTCCTCAGATTTTCCGTTCTCAGCCTCCTGATGCTTTTGGGGCAGCCATGGCTGTGCCTTAATCTTCTGCTCCTTCTCTGTCTTCATCTGTCCATGTTGAGGACTGTCCCCCTCCTGCTCTCTCCTTCTCTCAAGCTTTGTGGTCTCTTCACTGTGGAACTGTTGCCTTCAGCCATGTGCTCTCCTTCAGCATAAAGCTCTTCTGAAAGAGAAGTTTGAGAAGGGAAGTTGTGCTTTGTGAAAATGTGTCAGTTTAGTGAGGTCTTGGCTATGATCTCTGTGGCAGGTGCAGCTCTGAGGTGTGGCACTGTGTTGGGGGCAGGTGACAGAGTGCCCTTACAGCTGGATGGTGCAGCCAGTGTCTGGTTATTTGGTTGTTGTCATTCCTGTGCTTCCCCAAGAGCAGCACCAGTGCAGCAGGCCAAGCATCCTTGGAAGGACATTCAGTACAAGGAAATAGCTTTGTGGAAGCTGCAAGCCAAAAGTTAGCTGTTCTGCACTGCTCACTAGATGCAGAGAAAATTGGTTCAGGGGCCTGTCCCAGCTGCTCCTCCATCCTTCTCCACCACTCCCCAAATTTCCACTACTGTTGCTGCAAATTCCCAGTGCAGTCAGGAAATTCCTACCCCACTTCTGGAAGGGCTGTGTCCTGCTTGCAGCTACCATTACCAGGCTTGGCATCCTATTCTGCCACAGGGAGATTCAAATCCTCCTTGTTCTGCAAGTGTGGAGCTTGAAACATTGCTCATTTCCTCTGGCTGGAGTCTTCCTCTGGCTGAAGGCAGCTCCTGCTGTGCCAGGCCAGCTGGGCACCTCTGCTCACTCATCCTGCTCCCCTCAAAGGCTGTGGCTGCCAGAGCATATCTTCAAACCCTCTTCCCAGCTCTTTTTTCTTGCTTTTTGTAGCTTGTCCTGCCTTTTCTTAAGGAACAGTTCCTTGAAGCTTCCCAAGCTTTCCCCTGCTTGGGAAAGTTCAGTGTCACAGGGCACATGGGCTGCTGTTCCTGAGGGCTGAAATATCAGCAAAATAACTTGAGATCTGCAGGTGGAGACACTGTTTTCTTTATTTTTTCCCTGTAACTCATTTTGGACAATCAGCCCGTGCTGATGGTTGTAATTTCTGTCCTGGCAGATACAATCCTGGTACCTTTAATGAGTCTCCTGGAATGGGCAGGGCTGCCAGGCCCTGAGTGAGTCAGGCTTTTCATCTGTGCTCCAGAGTCAGTAGAAGAGGAGGAAAATGAGCCTAAAATGAGCTTTGTTGTGTCACTGGCTTAAACTGCTGCAGCAAAGCTTCAGCAGGTGGAGCATGGCTGGGATGATGATGATGAGCTCTTGTGCCCTGTCCTGCTCCTCCTTCTCCTTTAGCCGTGGTCATTCTCTGTGAATACTTGTTTTAATTACAAAAAGACATTCTGTACCTCTTTGGGAACAGGCTGGAGTGGGCTGCAGGAGCAGGGACCTGGTCCTCCTGTTGCTGCCACCTCAGTTGTTTGTGCACCCCTTATGTTTTCTGCCATAGAGAGCTGCTTCCTAGAGCTATCAGGAGGAGGGGGGGAGGATGTAGGAAAGAGGGGGATTTGTGTTTAAACCTTTCTCATTTTTGCCCCTAGAAAATGTTGCACTATGTCCTCCTAATCTTCCAAATTTTTATTTCCAAATAGAAACCAGTCCTTTCATTCTTTAGATCATTTCCTTTCAGATCTTCCTGGAGATGCACCTTTTTACTCTGGGTCAACTGCCATCACTGTCTTCCTGTTACTGGAAATACCCTTTTCATTTTCTTAGGGATTTCTTTGGCACTTGAGGTCAAGACTTTCCAGGTGGGAAAGAGAACAGCCCAGTTTTGTCCAGTGCCAGATCTGGCTATGCAAACCAATAAATGCAAGGCCAGTTTGTATGCTGAATCCTCACCTTGTCAGGTTGCTCTTCCTGGCTCACCATTTTCCTGGGAGAAGTATCTTTTCCTGGCTGGTGTGTGTCTGCTGCACCAGCTCTCTGTGATCTTGCCTGGTCAGGCTTCCAGTTTTACCCACTATCCTTTGATTTTGCTTCTGGTTTCTTGTTTTTGTGTTGGTCTGGTTTTTCCCAGTCTGTGGCAGTCCATAAGTGACTTGTGACCATTGTCCTGGGCTTCCCACTGTGCAGAGATCTCTGGTTCCTCCTCAGGATCTGCTCCAGTGCTGTCCTGGTTTTGTCTGAGAGGCTCCACAGTATCTGCAGTTCTCCAGCCCTTTTTGTATTTGCCTCCAGCATCACCACAAGGTGTTGTCCCAGCTGCTCCAGGGACTGTGCCTCTTGTTCTGTGAGGGTACCACAAATCAGAGGCACATGGAGAAGCCCCATTTATTTGGAGGAAATGTTTTCTTGGGAAACTCACCCAGCTGCTAGGGGTTGTAATTTCTGGCCTGAGGTTTCCTTCTGGCCCTGGTGATAGTTCACACATAAAGGATGCTTTAAAAGATCCTTGGAATATGATTTTTTTAAAAAATAGCCCAGACTGGAATGAAAGCTGGGGAACATTGTTCCAGTTAGAGCAGGATGCTCTGCTTTGCACTGAAATGCTGTACATGGTGTGGGTTCTGTTAGCCAGGGGACTTCACAGTGCCTCTGGAGGCCTGGAAAGCTGCTTGTTTGAAAAGTTCATAAAAGAAATAAGAATATATTTAAACCAGTCAACCTTTGATGTGTTGGGTGGCTCCTGTGCAGGTCAGGAGCCTAAACACAGCAGTGGTGTCCTGAGCATCTGGTGTTCCTGGCAGTGATGTCTGAGCCTCAGACTCAGGCAGGAGATCTTCACCTGCTCCTCACCTCTTCTGCCCTGCAGCAGGGAGCACCTCAGACATCTGGGGTTCACCACCAGCAGCTTCTCCCAGTTTTGTTTCAACCAGTTCAACTGGCTGGGAAATACATCACCAAGAGATGAGTGGAGCAGTTTGTGCTTTGGTTGGCCTTCAGGCTTCTTATCATGGTCCCATGGAATCATCTTACACTTCTTTTTAATTGAGTTATTTTTCTGTCAGAAATGGTTACAGATGGTAGAGTAACCCAGCCGGAGAAGAGGGTGGTTTTGTCCACAGTGTTCAATTTTCCCCCACCTCAAAAGAAAGTGATTTTCATCTGTAGGGGAGAATTTTCTGTGTCTTTGAATATGCTCAGCCTGGCTGAGGATACAGCCTGGCTACAGCCCTCTGCAGTATTGCCTAGTCCAGCCTCCAGGTACAGTCAGTGTCCTCTACAGTCACTGTTTTCTCTTTAGTTTAACAATATTTTTGACATGCTCTACTTGTTCTCTAAACTTTTCCTAAGGAAATCAGAGGCATTTTCAAGATCAGTTGGGTAATTGGAAGTGTCCAACCCACGAGCCCATGAAGGATCCCTGTTTTTCCTGGGGAGGCCAGCAGGCCATGGAGCTGTTTGTTGTTCTGAGCACAGCATCTCTTGTACATAATTTGGTAGTCAGGGCTTGTTCTCTCGTCCACAGTTTCAAACCAGAAGTTCCTGTCTGACTTTCTCAAGTTTCTCCATGGCAGTCTCACAGCAGAAGGAGATTGCTAAGCATCAAATGCCCCTGAGAGCAGAAATGTAACATTTATTTATGCCTCCATGGTCCCTCCATCCTTTCCTGGATGCCTGATAGCCCATAAAGGCCCCTCAGAATGATACATTAGTATATTTAGCTCCATCCAGGGGCAAATTTCTCTGTTCTTTCCATGTCCATATGACTTCCAAAGAGAAGTCTTGGGGTTTTATTGCCAAACCCTTATTGTAATTCTTCACACAATTGAGTGACACCTTCAGAATTGTCTGTTTCAGTCATTTGTTTAGGTCTGCTGGCTGAGAGTTGGGGAAACCAGTGTTCCCAGTCCTGCTGTAGGAGGGGAGTGGATGAGTAAGAGCTGGAAGAGAATGGTAAGAGAGAGTTAGAGCCTCATCACAGGAGGTGAGAAGCTGGTTGTGATCTACTTCAGTGTTTCAGATGGGGAGATAAATATTCCCATCCTCAGCAGTGACTGGGCAAACCCTCTTTTTGCTGCTGGTTTGTTGTCCCAAATCCTGCCATCCCATGGAAGGACACTTCTCCCATGGCACTGCCAGGCACTGCTGTGCTGAACTTTCACCTGAGGATGAGATGAGCCCCATGCTCAGGGCAGTTCTGGTTTCTCTCACAGCTCAAGGAGTTGAGTTTCAGTTTGGTGTTTACAGCTTTTTTTTTTTCTTTTCCTTTTTTTTTTCTATTTTTTTTCAACCAGTCACTTCACGCTGCACCTGAACCTTTCTGTGTGCATATTGGGCTGGATGATGTCTCTTCTGTTTTGGGTCAGGTTTCTGGAATCTGCCTGGTTTTAGGTGTCAGGGTGGCACAACCCACAGCACAGACTGTGCTTTTGCTGTTGATGCTACTCAGAGCATGGCTTCTTCTTCCTGGAAGGCTTTGTCCTAACCTATGCTTGAACAAAAAGGACTGGAGAATTTCTCCTAAGAGGATTTGATACAGTTTAAATTGGGGGCCAACAAGGAATTGTTAAAAAGGAAACTCCATAAGCTTCTACTACAAATCCCCCCTTTTTTCTATCTGTGGCTTATTTGGCTGTGGAGTCACTTAGCAGTGACTTATCAGTGGCTGCCAAGAAGGTGACTGGGCTGAGGTCTGTAAGGCCTGAGGTGAAGTCAGCTCTGTCCATCCCTGTCTGAAATGCTGCCTTCAAGCAGCTGCCTCACCTTGTGTCTTCCTTCCCTGCCATGTCCCCTGTTCTTGGGGATTGTGTCTGTGGGAGCTGCTGCAGAGCTTTGCACCATGCCTGGGCTTTAGGAAGCAGGCTGTGTCATGGCTCGGGTGCTGTTTGTGTACTGACTGCTGTTGGGTCTCCTCTCTTCCCTGTTCTGCTGCTGAACTGGGAGTGCTGGGCTGCAGCAAGCTCCCTGGCACACTCAGCTGAGCAGAGCCACCCTGTGCAGCCTGGCCTGACCCTGTCTGTGTGCTGTTCTGCATGCTGCTCCTCAGAGTTCTCCTTTCTCTTGACTTTGCCAGTCTCCAGCACTGCTCTGAGAACTCCCAATCTTGTATCACAGCATTCCTTTCACCCCCTGCAGCAGTATTTGTTGTAGTGTCCACGTTGGCTTCTCAAGCTGTCCTCTGCCCTGTAGCTGACCCACTGTCTGTGCTCTGGGTGCTCTGCCAGCCCTTTCCTGCTGGGGAGCTTGTATTTGAGAAGAGGAGTGTTTGGGTTTGGTGTTCCATTAAACAGAGTGTTGGTTTGGGTTTTGGAGTGCCATTAAAATCACCTCCACCATAGTGTGTATTTCACATGGTTTGCAGTGCTGGAGAAGTGGCAGCAGAGGAGCAAAGTCAGAGGTGGGAGAAGATGCTTTCAGGAGAAGAGGTGGAATTTGAGGAGGATGCTGTGGGGCTGGCTGTGACAGGGTTGTGCAGGTGCAAGGGGATTGCAGAGCAGGGCTGGGACAGCTCTCAGATGACCAGGAAAGAGGCTTTTTGGAGACAGACATGGAGTGGGAACAGAAGGAGAACACAAGTTATGATACGGAGAAAAGCTCCTTGTTCCTCACCAGAGATGACCCACACATTTTCAGTGTGGGTCATGTCTCAGTGAGAGGCTGAGCTGTTGGTCATAGGTCTCACCATGGTGGCTTTGGCATCCATGACCTTCTGTGGAGGTCACAGCAGTGGCTTTATGGCATTTCCATTTCACACAGTGCTGCTGGTGTGTCACTTGGAGAGAAACATTCACTCTGCTTGGCCTTCAGCCTCTGGGGGGATTGCAGAGCTTTGTACAGTGAGGGCACAAGAGCAGGGAGCAGCCAGTGGCTGGCTGAGCTTGTGACACAGACCTGAACCAGTGACCTGGAGGTGAAGTGCTTTAGTTCCATTCCTGGCCCGTTCTTGCTCTGTTGGTGGCACAGAACCCCACGTGCTCAGCACATCATGGATATTGTGGACTGTGGGTGCTGGACAAGTCTCCTGACAGGTCCCCAAGAACTCTAGAATTCACAGGATGGGAAAAGGGCAATATAAACATACTATTTACTGGTCTAGGCCAAACTAGAGGTACTAGAACATTAAGAACAAGTGGTTAAATACCAGGATACACCACAGGTAAGGAAAATTACAGTGTTGATACTGTCCTTGTTTTGTATGGGTCATCAGAAAATAAGTCCTAAAGTACATAATGGTGCACATAGCACATGTGGTGCTATATAAATGGCCAACCTTGAAAGTACCTTCATTCACCTGGCCTGGCCTGGCTGATGTGTGTGGTCCTGATGCCACCAGCAGTTGCCCACAGGGCCATAGTATTGGTGAAATGGGTGCTATATCTTGCAGATTTTTTCCACAAGTTTGAATAATTTTTCTTTCTTGGGTAGCCATGTAGTTTTTGTCCCTGTGGATGATCCTGGCTACCTCTGTTGCTTTGGACTTCTTGCCAGATATTTTTTCTGGTTTTTTTTAATGGTTTTTAAACATGAGTCACAGCTTCAGGATCACGATTTCCTCACTTGTGATTCAGAGAAAGTATTAATTAGTGCAAGATGTTAAATATATCTGTAAAATCACATGAAAAACTGTATGGTCATCTCCATCCTTCATTTAACCAATTTCATGTTTGAAAATGGACAGTTTTCTGTTTTCAAATGTGCATTGTTGTTTCAAGCCCAAATGAAACTTTTCATAATATATAGTGTATATACAAAGTATAGTGTGTGTGTATACATATATATCTCTATATGCACATTGGGTATGTGTCTATATAAACTCTTTTATACAGTGTTGATGTTCCCTCAGCCAGTACTAGGTAAAGGATTGTTAGTTTTATGAGAAGAGCTCAGAGGACTGCTGCCCATCATTAACATTACCAGAGAAATGTGTTCTCTGGGTTATGTGGCAGTCCCTTCTCCCCAGCCATGGTGGAGGCTGTGGAAGGAGCTTTTTTGGCTTCTTAGACATTTTAAACATAATGTTCCTTGGTTAAATTTCAAACCAGTCCTCAAGCCCCTTCCAACATGGCTAAGAACTGTGTGGGAATTTGTTTTGAAATGAAAGCCTGGATGTGGCATTTTGCTGTAGTTTTCAATGAAATTTGAGCTCTTTAATTTCTTCCTGACATTTTATCTGAAAGTGTTGATGCTTCTGTGAGGACTGAGGGCTTTACAGTCTGATTAAACAGCTTTAGAAGTGTTCAGTTACATTTCTTATTTGAGAGCACTGCTTGATTCCCCAGAGTGTTTTTGAGCATGCTTGGCTTTGGGGTCCTGGTCACTTGTCTCCAGCAGCAGGGCTGAGGGTGCAGTAATGGCATGGAAGTGATGAAGTCTCTGCCACTCTTCCTCTTTCAGAGAATTCGGTCGACAGTGGATGAGAAGGAGCAGAAGCAGCTTCTGATGGACCTTGATGTGGTGATGAGAAGCAGTGACTGCCCTTACATTGTTCAGTTTTATGGCGCACTCTTCAGAGAGGTGGGCACCCCAAACTTGCTTCACTAGTAGCAGAGTTTGGGTTTTACCTTGGTTTTTTTCCCCTTTGTCATTTTAAATTCGTGCTAAGGAGGAGAAAATTGATTTAAGTTAGGTTTCTTGGTTCTGCACTTTTACTCAAGGGTGTTTAGCCAGGAGACCCAGGTGTCTGGGCACGCTGAGCAAGCATTTGGTCCCTTTGCCACAGGAGTTTGGAGAAGATGAATATTGAAACCTGACTGCTGCTTCTCCTTCCTCCTGTATCTCCTCGGCAGGGTTGGATTATCCCTGCTCCTGTAATTGCTCTGTTGTTGAAACTGCCACAGTGCAGGGGGACAGACATGGGGGCCTTGCCTGTTTTCCATTACTTGAACACAAATCCAGTCCCTCTCCTCAAGGGAAGGAGGAAAACAGAGACCTAAGGGCTGCAGGTGGTCCTTGGGGGTTATCAGGCATAGCAGCCTGTGCAATCTTGTGGGGTTTTACTGGGAAACATTTAGAGAGAGGTCAGTGTTGTAGGTAAAACCCAAAACTGTGTGTGAATATTTAATTCCTGCTTCTAGAGAGTCTGCCTGTGTAATTTTGCCAGGTCACTCCTCTGGCTTTAAATCTCATTCTCTAAAATCAGCATAATAATCCTTCCTTTTCCCATGCTCTGCTTTTTCTGATCTTTTTGAACACAGAGCCATTTTGGGCCCTCAGGCATTGTCCATGTTCACACAGTACAAGTTCCTACTATGTGGAGCCTCAGCTTGGCCGGAGATTTCCAGCTTTGCCAAGGTGCCAAGGCTGTCAGGTGGTGTGAGGAAAGGTCTGTGGACAAAACAGTGTCTTACCAGATGCTGAGGAGCAACATGCTCAGGGCTGTGCAAGCCTCTCACCTTTTTTCAGCTCTGGACACATCCCAGGGTGTAAATGTAAATACACAAACAACATAAAAACTTACTTTAATCAGCACCCAGATGTCAGCTTGGCTGCACTCGTTGTCATGTCCAAAATCTCATCATCCTGCAGCCAGGCAGGGCTCCCAGGGCTCCTTGCCTGCTCTGTCTGGGAAAGGTTTCAATGGCATTGCTCTGGTTGGAGTGAAATCCCCTTTTTCCCCTTCAACATAAGTGGTGTTTGCTTCAGAGATGAAAGCAGCCTTCCCCTCTCCTTGGTTCCCACTGCCTAGGGATGCTCCAAGTCACCTTCCTCAGATGCACCCAGGGTGAGCTGGGAGACTTCCATAAAGTTTTGTGTCTTGTCTCTTTAATTACTCGTTCCAATATTAAGTAGAATCTTAATATCTTAAAGATAGCAAAGTATGGCACCAGAGAAGCACAGGAAGGGAAAAAAGTAATTTCACCAGGATGTTTGGATCTGTCTGACCCCCCAGTCTGTTTATCAGATCTGTTCTCAAATAACTGTGAAAGATCCAGGTCACTGCTGCACCATGCTCTGAGGTGTAAGAGCTCGTCAGACATTGGGAAAGACCAAAACTCTCTCAGGAAACCTGCAGCAAACTATATAAAACAAAGCTCTTTGTTGCAGCATTTCAAGGTGAAAAGTAAGGAAATAATTTTGGGGTTACCTGCTCTGAGCTGGGATTCAGCTGTGGATGGAGCAACCAGTGAGAAATCTTCTTTGCTTGCTCCTAAAAGGTGAAAGACATCCATGTGAGCCTCTTTACAGGAGTTTAGCTGGCTGAATTGTGCAGAGGGTTGGCAGGATCCAGGCAGCTCCAGGAAAGCAGCAGGGCAGGTGGCACAAAGGGAAGGCAGGCAGCCTCCCACAACAGGAGTGTTTGGTGTGGAGAGGCAGAACTAAGCTCTGGGATCCTGACAGTTGGGAATACTAAACCAAAAATTGGATAAACTTATGCAAGATCTTACTTTGGAGCCAGACAAATGTCCCAGTTTGCAGTCAGGGAAGTGGCTGTGAACACAAGTTCCTGTGGCAGCCTCTGTGAATACCAGCAGTTTGATTTGGAAAGGCAGGAAATACTACACAGAAATTTGTATTATCTCTTGCTTGTTCCACATTTTGTGACAGGGAGAGTCTTCTCTGGGTCCTGCTTGTCCCTCAGCAGGCAGCCCCTGAACCTTCATCATTTGCTGCCTGTTCTTCAGTCAGGAGGGACATTTCTGTCCCTGTATGTCTGTACATGTGATGGAATGTGTAACAGTGCACAAGCACAGGTTGATTGTCAGATGCAGGACTTTGCTTCAGCTCATTGGAACCCACTAGATGAGATTAAATTCCTGGTCAATGAAACAAGAACAAAGCTGAAAAAGTAAAAGACTGTTTCAGTCTATGCATGGAATCAGGGGCTTCGGTGCACCACGGTTGGCTTTTGGGCTGCCAGCTCATGTCCAGTTTTTCATCCATCAGTATCTCCCAGCTCCTCTCCTCAGAGCTGCTCTGAATCCCATCATCATTGTACTGGTGAGTGCCCTGACCCAAGTGCAGGATCTTACACTCATTGAACTTTGTGGGGTTCCCCTGGCACCAGGAAACCAGCTGGTTTGTCTGTCCTGCACCCAGGAGAGCCCAGAGTCCTGGAGTGCACACAGAGCTGTCCACATCAGCCGTCAGAGATCTCATTGAAGAGGATCTCATGCTCATGTGTTTCCTCTCAAGGCTGTACTTGATAGATAGGGGGAGAAAAAAATAACAAATTTGGTTGACAGGGGTTTTGCTAACATAACATTTGAGTCTCTCCGTGTGAGAAGAGAGGAGCTGTGGGCTGAGCCCACTGGGACCCCCAAGACCCCCCTGAACATTGCTGTTTTAAGAGGTTTTTAGGTCTGAGGAAAAAAAAAAGTTCTTATTTTCTTGCCTGTCTGCCACAAGCTTTACAGCTGCTCTGGTTTGAAACAGTACCTGTAAAGCTGGGAATGTTTGTGTAGTTACCATGACCACACTAGTGGCTCTTCAAGGTACCTGTTCTGATTGTGTTTCTTTTTAAGAGAGGAAGGGGAAAGAAGCCTTATCTGACTTGTAATCTCAGGAGTGACTCCTACACAGTGCAAGCGTAGTTGAGCCAAGTTTAAACCAATAAGTTCAATACTTGATAAAATTATTCAATGAAAAATTCATTGCAAGTTGCAGAACATGCTTAGGAAGCTGGGTAAATCAGCCCATGGGGAGCTTCTGCTGGCAGGAGAGAGGAGCTGGGATGGATGTGTTGGTAGCACAGAGCTGGGCTGGTGTGAATTGCTGACACAGCCTTGCTCAGTTTGATCTCTTTGCTGTTGATGCACCTCACACTGTTTTTATGGAAATCCTTGACTGTGCTGCCATTCCTCAGCACATCTGTCCCTGTTGTCAGTCCCTGGTCTGTAGGAAAATTGTCCTGTGTGCCATGTAAATACATGGTGGTGGTGAGATTTGTCAGTCTCTGTCACTGGTGTAGCTGCATGAAGAGCTGGCTCCCCCTGCAGTGACCAGATGTGATATACCATTAGTATAAACATATTAGTGTTTATACAGAGTGGTGGGTGTGGGCAGGGACCCCTGAGGGCACCTTTTCCAACCCCCATGATCAAGTGATTTCCAACCCACTTGACCAGGATTGTGTCTAAAAAGCCTTTGAATCTCTCCAGAAATTGTCTCCACAGTCTCCTGGGGCAGCCTGTGCCAGTGATTAATCCCCTCACAAAAAGTGTTTCCTCATGCTCAGAGGGAACCTCCTGTGTGTCCTGCTCGTATTGCTCAGCACCACTGAGCAAACCTGGCTCCATCCCCTGTGCAGCTTCCCCTTAGGTGGATGAGGTTCCCCTGATCCTTCTCCAGGCTGAGCAGCCCTGTTTTTATCAGCCTTTCTCATGGGGAGGATGCTCCTGTTGCTCAGTTATCTTGGCTGCCTTTTGCTGGAGTCTCTCTTGCACTGGGGAGCCCAGCACTGGTCACAGCACTCCAGGAGTGCCTCACCATTGCTGGATTGAGGGGAACCTCATCACCTCCCTCCACCTGCTGGTGGTGCTTTGCCTCGTGCTGTGATCCTTCAGCCCAGCAAAGATGCATTGTAGGCTCATGTTCAGTTTAATGTCCACCTGGAGCCACAGGTCCTTTTGTGGTGAGCTGCTCTCCAGGTGGGTGACATCCTTGTGACACCTGCTCCCTTGTCAATGGGAATTCTCTGCACTGAGAAGCTGAAGCATCTCCATTGCTTTTGTGTCTGTCCTGGACAGAGATATTTTGAATTAAATGCACATGATGTTCTTGGACATTTTTTTGGAATGTCTACAAGATGTGCATTAGCATCTGGTAATCCAGTAACGACTAAAATACATTCTTTGGAAGAATAGCTCTAACAGGAAGAGAAAATTTAAGCTCTTTTGCCATTTTCTGATCAGAAATCAACCTTACTTAAGAGGCAGAATATGAAGTGAAACTCTCATTAGGGTGGTTTTTCCTCACAGTTCACAATGGAGCAGGACTTGCCCATGTACATCAGCGCTTGTTGGTATTTGGTCAGGAAGACAGCTGAGTCCCCAGCCAGCCTTCCTTTTTCTTCCTGTTAAATGCAAGTGCTTCATCTGCACTTTGCCGTTGTTGCTAATGCAGGAAAGAGACATTTTCTACATGTATTGCCCAATTTCATTTCTGTAGTTGAAATCTGAACAGTTCCTTAGCCAAGTTCCTCCATAGCCAACCTGTGGTCTGTACACCTTTTTCCAGGCCCCCTGAAGTGTGCTGGTCATGCCCTCATCCTGCTGTGCTGCTCTGGCCTCTTTCAGTGATGTCCCTGCTTCCGTATCTGTCACAACACTTCATCGTCTGCTTTTTTTGGGTGCAGTGAGAGTTTTCTGGGCTCAGGCTTGTAGCAGCCCTTGAGAGGATGACAGCAGCTCCTGCTGTGCCTTGAGCTGATGTGAAAAGCTGATGCCAAATGAGCAGTGTAAGCTGGAGAGGCCCAAAGTCTTCCTCCCCAGCCACACAGCCCTTCCTAGGAAAGCAGCTCCCCTCTTCTGGGTGTTCCCCTGTGCCTGCAGCCTCCTGGAGAACAAAACACTCTGTGAGGCTTGGATTCACCTGGGTTCAGGCATCTAAACTGTAATGTCAGGTGTGAGCTGGGCAGGTAAATGCCTCTGCTGTGAATGGGAGCAAGTCTTTCATTGCTAAAACAAATCAAGGTGAATTCCATCCTTTCTATTGAATACATGTTGCTATTTATGTATTTCATAGGATTCAGTCGATCTCTGTATGCTCTCTGGATTTGTATTTCTCATTTTTATCTCACATTGTTTTCTCTTTCCAGGGTGACTGTTGGATCTGTATGGAGCTCATGTCTACCTCGTTTGATAAGTTTTACAAATATGTATATAGTGTATTAGATGATGTTATTCCAGAAGAAATTTTAGGCAAAATCACTTTAGCTGTGAGTATTTTGTTAAACCTTTTTGTTGAAGATAATTGATAAGTTCAGATCCTTGTTCAGATCCCCCTCCCTGTGAAAAACTGGTTGGTCTGTGGAGCAGAATTGCTGCTGCAGTTTGCACCGCACTGGAAATGGTTCTTCAGGGTGCTCATGACTTTTCCAAAGTATGTTGCATGGTGTAAACAGAGCTCCTGGGTCAGTAATCAGTTCATTAACAGACCCCAGGACCATCTTCCTGCTCTGTCTGCTTGAATGTGAGCACCAGCAGCACAGGCACCAGCCCAGACCAGAGAAGCTTCTGGAATTCTTGTGCAAAGGCTCCAAAAGCCCTGGAGAACCTGGCTGATGTTTTCTGATATAACCTGGAAGTTCTGGACTAGTGAAAACTCAGATAATTGAAACAGTTGTGACTTGCTGAAAAAAATATAGCATAGGGCTTGAAATAAGTGATTGCTGAGGATAATTAACATCAGAGATTGTTCTGGCTCCACCTCTGGCTCTCCTCTCCCAGAGTGGGATCTTTGCAGGCCACAGGGGATGTGTGTTCACTTAAGCCCATACCCTCTCTTATATTGCCTTCTGTTTGCAGAAAAGGTTCAGAGAAAAATGTTTTATTACATGGCATATTACAGCATTGATATCTTGTAATCAATGTATTAAATGCTTTTTACCCCTGTTCTTGGAGTTCCAAAAACGTAATAACCACAGGACTCTTACAGCATCTGCTTATTTTTCATCTGTTTTTCTTTCCTAGACTGTGAAAGCACTAAACCACTTAAAAGAAAACTTGAAAATCATTCACAGAGGTGAGTTCTTCATGTCTTTTTAACTTCATGTCTTTTCTTGTCTGTTAAAATAATTGCAAGAATTGTTAGTGGCCTTTGGTTCACTCCAAGTGTAAGCACAGCACCTGTACCGCCATGAGTCTGAGTGCAGGTTTTCAACAAGTGTCCCAGTGCCTGTCCTGTTGCCCCTTCATGTGCCTTTTCCATGTAAGTGTGATTTCAGGGTGGCTGGGCATCCGCTGCTGCCTTTGGGCATGTGTCACCTCCAGGGCTGGCTCCATCCCCTTGTGCTCCCGTGCAGGATCCAGCGCCGAGGGTGACAGCGATGGCACAGCACTGCTGCCCTCCATGCCCTGCAGCTGCTCTGCTTGAAATCAAAACCTCCAGCCGTGACTTACTGCTTTAAATTTCTTCCCCCTGCAGACATCAAACCTTCCAATATTCTTCTGGACAGAAATGGGAATATTAAACTCTGTGACTTTGGCATTAGCGGACAGCTCGTGGACTCCATTGCCAAAACGCGGGATGCGGGATGCCGGCCGTACATGGCGGTGAGTGGGACGGGTTCTGGGGAATCCCACCCTGCAGGAGTGACAGAGATGAGAGATCTCTGAAGCCACGGCTTGGAACTTGTGGTTTATTGCTGAGGGCCAAGTGCAGGGCCCTGCTGGGAGCTGCCAGCCACAGCTCGGACAAGGAAAGAGAGGTAAAGAGAGTGGTAAAGAGAGAGAAGGCAAGAGTGTGGTAAGGAGGATGAGAGGTCAAGGTTCCCGTTACAATACGATAAATCTTCTTCTGCGTTGAATATTCTAATTCTCGCTAGCCAATCTAATGGAAGATACAAATCCTATGGCATTTACATACAGCCTATAAGAATCATTACATTACCATACTTACCCTAAAAAACCCTAAAAACTCCTCTTTGGGCTCCTTCTGCTAAGCCTAAAAAACTACTCTTTGGAAACCCTAAAAACTACTCTTTGCAGTAGTTTTAAACCCTAAAAACTCCTCTTTGGACCCCTTCTGCCAAGCTGTAGTGTCTGCTCTGACCCTTGGGCCTGTCTGCAGCCAGAGGGTGTTGTTCCATCAAAAGGGGATTACCTTCAGCTGGCCACACCATTGTTTTCCAGCTGTTCAGTAACTGAGGTATGTCAAAGCTTGCTTTCATTTCAATCTCCCTTATAGTTTACATATTCTCAAAATCTTTTACCAGGCAATCATATTTATAAGGCTTTCCTGTTTCATCTTCCCCAACACACCCTCCCTGTGGGATGAACAGCCCTTTCATGGATTAAATTGAGCTCTGGATTGAGCTCTGCTGTGACAGTGTCATCCAGGCTGTGGCAAAGTGTTCCAATTCCTGGGTTTTTGCTGGGTTCCTCTGCTGCTGCCATTGCTGTGCTGCTGGAGTGGAGAGGAGCTCTGTGCCTTCCAGCAGCTCCAAAACACCATTGCCCAGGGGAGCAGGGCTGTCAGAGTGTGGGTTTGTCTTGGTCTGCAAGAAATCCATTTGCTCTGGTAAAATTATGTCACAGGAGTTATTGCAGAGCAGAATTACAGTGATTTTTGTAAACCACTTTAATTCCAAAGTGTGCCAGAACTTCATTCCAGGAGAATGCGATTCTGGAGAGCAGCAGTAGCAGAGCAGCTGTGTGGAAATTGCTGGGGCTGAGCTGTGGCTCCTGGGAGTCTGTCCTGCTTGTTTGCTGCCCTCCCTCTCCCAGAGTGAAAAGCTGTAGTGGTGATTTTGGAAGCTGTCTGAGGGTTTTAAACACTTCAGTGCTTCAGGGTGCTTTGAAAATGCATCTCTGTTCTCACATGAGCCAAGGGTACATTGTGCAGAGAATTGTGCCTGCTGCTGCTCATATAACTTTAATTTTAGTGCCTGGCTTTAATTTTTGTTACATATTCATGGCTCTGTATGCTGAAAAATACTGTTTTCTGAACTCTTTTTATCTACCACCAAGTAGAAAAAAGGAAAATATCTCTCTTCCAAGACATGGTTCCCACCTGGCTCAGGCCATGGCTCTCACATGGCTTTTCTCTGACTGTGGTGTCCAAGGTGAAACCTGTCTGCCCTGACTCTGACCTTTCTTTGAGCCATGGGTAAGTGGCCAGTTCTGCTCAGGCTGTTGGTGTAGTTATGCCATGACAGTTCCTGAGATGACTGTAATGACAGTTAATGAGATGACTGAGATGTCTGTAAAGAGCTGCAGTGCTCCATTTCCCCTGGGATGTGGTGAGTGAGTGCTTCCATAGCCCTTTGGTTTTCCTTTCTCCTGTCTGTCTGTCTTCGTGCACTCAGATTTGTCCAGCTCCATTGGCAGCTCCAGACTTGGGTGGACTTTCAAGTGAGCAGAAGTGTTGCAGTTCAGTTTGTGTTTTACAGAGCCTTGGCAGGGCACAGGTTTTGTGGGGCAGCCAGCAGCTGGCAAGTGATGTGGGAGATGATTGGCCTCTTCCCTGCTGCTCTGCAGCCTCAGTGACTCCTTTCCAAGTACATGAGCATTTCCACGTACAGAGAGCCTGGGAAATGGGGAGGTGTCCCCAGTGGGCAGGCACATCTGCCAAGCCAGCAGAGGCTGATGTCTGAAGGGATGCTGTGATCAAATTGGATATACCTGGGAAGGAGTCAGGCTGCCACACTCCTTTCAAAAGGAAAATAGTATTTTTTTTTAGTGTAAAATAGGCCAAGAGTAGTAGCTGTGTTCAGCCAGGAGGCTGCTGGATGATGGTGTCTCGTTTTGCAAGGCTCACCAACCCATGGCACTCACCCCTGAAGGAGCCTGGTCCCCAGGGAGCTGTTGGTAACAATGGCCCTGGATGTCAGCCAGTCTGGCTGTGAGTGCTCTGAGGAGGCAGCAGGAGCCATGTCCAGCTGCCAAGCAAGTGCTGTGGGCTTGAACCAAGATTGTTGGAGCTGTCAGAGCGAGCAGCGCCTCAGCCTTGGAGCTGCGGAGCTGGGAGCTTGTTTTGCTTTTGGCTTTCAGCTCCCCTGCAATTGTTCCAGTGGGAAAAGGCCTCTGAGTGTGGGTACCTCGTGTTCTCTGGGGGAAAGAAAGGCAGGACTGAGTTCCCAGGCAGTCTCTGGCCCCTGGAGCAGCCTGGGCTGTTCTGAGCCCTCCTCACCCCTGCCCTGTGCTGCTGCCAGCTCTGGGGTTTGTTCCAGGTGAGGTTGCACAGCCCTCACCCAGCAGCGGGTGCTCCCGGCCAGCCCTGCATTCTCCCTGAGTGCTGCTCCCTGTGCTCCCTGCCTTGCTCTGGCTGTGGGGATGCTGCTGGGAGTGAGCTCTGTGTGACATTTCTGCTTTTTGCCTTCTGAGTGCCCCAGTGAACCCAGTGCCCGTGTCAGAGAGGAAGGGTGAGAATGGAAGGGCTTGGTTTGGGCAGGAGTGGAGGGGCAGGCCCAGCCATTGTGAGGATGGGTGTCCTGCCCTGCTCCTTCCAGAGGAGAAGTAGAGTGTGATGGTGTCACCTCCATCCTTGGTCACTCAGGTCCTTTTCTCAGGTCAGTTTGGAGTCTCTGGCTGCAAACTGTGGCTTCTCACTTCTCCCTGGGGATGGTGGACAGTTGGTGCTGGCATTGCTGTCGGGCCAGCTGGATGTCTTGTGTTCAGGTGGTTCAGGCAGAGATCAGGCCAGGTATGGCTGTTTGTGTAGCTGGGGTTTGGAAGAGAGGGAGGATCTGTGCTCATTTTTCAGTCAAGATGCTGGTGCTCAGGTGGACACTGAACTGGAGGAGCCCCATGGCAGCCTGTACCCTTCTCTGATGCATCCATCCCCTGTCTCCTCACTCCATCAGCACATCCAGAGATGGGTCTCCACCTCAGCCATTTCCTTTCCTGCTTGCACTTGGCATCAGGACACCTGGCCTGAGCCAGGCTTTGTCTGCAGCCCTGAAGGTCCCCAGAGTGTGACATGGTGACTCTTCCTTCCTTGGTGTTAATTGCTCCCATGTCATCTACATGGAAAATTCTCAGCATTCTTCCTGCTCTGTATTTAGATGGGATTTATTTTGGGTCCATCCTGCTTTCCCTTTAACTGTGCCACCATGGTCTGGGGCCAAACCCCTGTTGCTCTGTTTGCTCACAGGAGCAGGGTGCCCATCTTGGGTGCCTGGGACAACCAGCTGTGTCTCACCAGTGCCACCCATCCCACCAGTCCCTCTTGGGCCGCTCCCATCCTTCACCTGCAGCCTGGCAGCTTTCTCTGCTGTGGCACATCCCCGTGGGTCACAGCCCTGGCCAGGCCAGCATCCCCAGCATTTGATGTGTTCTGAGCTGGTCCATCCCTGGTGGCAGCTCCAGACACCAATGGTGTGTCCCCAGTGGAGTTCAGGGCTGGGCCACCTCCTGCTGCACTTCTCAGCTGTGTCTGCCTCAAAATTGTATTAAAACGTAGCTTACAAAGCAACCATGGCTTTCAGAGTATTTCCTGTACCCCGTAATTTAGGATTTATTGCTATGCAGGTATCTTTATTATTGTTGTAGTCAAAACTGAATGAGAGTCTCTTTCTTTTGACATGTTAATTATTATATTTTTAACTAAAGAAGGCAGACTGAGGTTTCTCATAAAGATGACATGCAAGGCATAAAGATGTTTTTGCTGGCTCAGCTCTGCTCTTAGGTGTGAATCACCCATGTCTGGCCCAATATTGCTTTCTATGAAAGGCATTTTGCATGTCTTAAAGCCTTGTAACATCGTAACTGCCTTCAAGGGATGACTGAAACCTTGTTCAGAGGAGCTTTTCTTGAAGCACATTATAATAGTGTGCTTAGTATATATATATATATATATATATATATATATATATATAATATATATACTAAGCACACTATTATAATGTGTTTATAACAAATGTATAATTTATATTATAAATTATAAAAATTATATTTATATAAATATAAATAAAATAGTTATAATAGTTTATAATAGCTTCTTAGTAACTGGCTGGGGAGAAGAGTTCTGGTAGATGCTGCTGAGCCTCCGTCCCCAGGGTGGGGGTGAGATGTTGATTTCAGTTCTTATCATCCATTGGGTGTCAAAACAGAAAGTGAGACTTGGTGCTAAAGACATCCCAAAGTTGAACAAAACTAAATTAATAAGACAGTCACAATCATTCAAAGTGTTTGTGCAAAAGGAAAAAAAACCCCAAACATTGCACTGTGATAAGTTGCCATTTCTGATCACCTTTTACACGACACCTCCATAAAATCAGTGTTTTTAGTGATTCCTTGAGATGTTTCTCTGCTGGGGTTGGATGGCCAGAGGTTTTGCTTGGGGCTGTGCCAGGCTCAGGGCTCTCTCTAGCTTTGCAGATGCTCCCTGCATGGCCCAGAGCCTGACACTCCTGTTGCCGTTTCAGCCGGAGCGGATAGATCCCAGCGCCTCGCGGCAAGGCTACGACGTGCGCTCCGACGTCTGGAGCTTGGGCATCACACTGGTGAGTGGGCACTGCCCTGTGCCAGGGGCAACACAGCCCAGCTCCTTCCTGGGCTCTGCTCCCCGTGGGCACTCCCTGCCTCGGGAACAGCCTGGGGGCTTCCCATGTCCATGGTTCTGCCGAGCCCCCGTGGATGTGAGCAGGGAGGAGGTGTGTTGAGTTTGCTGGGTCCCCAGGATGAGGAGGAAATGAGTCAATCTGACTCCATGTTCTTAGAAAGCTAATGATACATGATATGATATGATATGATATACCATATTATATATTATACCATATTATACCATACCATATAATATATATATTATATTATACCATATTATCTATATTATACTATATTATATATAGTATACTATATTATATATATTATACTATACTAAACTATACTAGAGAATAAAGATACAGACAGAAGGCTTAACAAGAATGAGAATGAAAACTCGTGGCTTCTCAGAGCCTTGACACAGCTGGCCATGATTAGCTATTAAGTTGAAACAATTCACATTAAACCAATCAAACAATGACCAGTTGGTAAACAATGTCCAAACCATATTCCAAAGCAGCAAACACAGGAGAAGTGAATCAGATAATTATTATTTACATTTTTCTCTGAGGCTTCTCAGCTTCCCAGAAGAAGAAATCCTGGCAAAGGGATTTTTCAGAAAATATGACAATGACAGAAGTGTTGGATTGTAAATGAATTTTGTGTTCAGAATCTGAGGTGAGGGTGCTGAGTGTGGTGGTGCAGAGCAGAGCACCCAGGCTGTGTGAATAAGCCTCTGGCAGCTGCTGTGCTTTGGCTGCACAGAGGCCTTGGTTAATCCTGGATTCTGGGGTTGTGGTTCCTCACTGGCTCAGCCACAGCACTGCTCACTGCACACACTGAGAAGCTCTCAGTGAGAAACCCTTACTTTCTTCAGGTTGTGAAGCAGAAGAGAAAGCAGAAGTAATTAAGTATGTACCAGTAGCTTCTGTTCTCACCACTGATGTTTGAAAAAACTAATTTTCATTATCCTGGAGTTGGATTCAGGGATCCTTATGGGTCCTCTCCAACCTGAGGTATCATGTGATTGTGTCATTCTCATTATCCATTTTCTCTAGTGCTTGTTAGGATGCTTGGGGAGGGACTGGAGGATTTTACTCTCCCGTACTGGTTTGATTTATAGTCAGTGGAGGAGCAGACATGGCACAGAGGCCTGGTCAGGGTAGATCTGGCCATGCCCTCACACAGGCAGCGGAACTTACTGCTGAGTAAAACCTTCCCTCTACTTAGAACCATACAGGGAATAGGATGAAAAATCTCATCTCAATCTTCCTTCTGGGGTGGTTCAAGTTTGCTGCAGACTTTTTTTTTCCCTGACTGAGCTTCCCTGGTATAAACCTGCCTGGTTCTGCTCCTGTCTCCTGCAGTACGAGCTGGCCACGGGGCGATTCCCCTACCCCAAGTGGAACAGTGTGTTTGACCAGTTGACACAAGTAGTGAAAGGAGACCCACCACAGCTGAGTAACTCAGAGGAAAGGGAGTTTTCCCCAAGCTTCATCAACTTCGTCAACTTGTGGTGAGTGTGTGCTGCTGCGGGCACTGGGGGTGGGCTCCTTTTGTTGGCTGGTGTTTGGCAAGGGTCGTGTGTCCAGCACTTCCCTTTCACATTCCTGCACCAGCGTGAGGGGAGGACCTTGCACATTTCAGTGGTTTGGGACTGAAGGGCAGACCCTGGAAACTGCTCTTCAGGAAAGGAATTAGGAGAAAAGCTCTGAGAGGCTGTGCTAGAGAGAGGAGACATGGTAAGGTGGGAAGTTTCCATGGCAGGAGGTTTGTGTCAGACACAGCCCCTGCCCCTGCCTGCACAGCTGGGATGGGAGTTAATCCTGTGATCACTCACAGTGCCAGGATGGGCTTTCCAGAAGACCAAAGGTGGTGTGTCCCCCTCTGACAGCATCATGTCCTGTAAAAATTTGTATTTGATATTTGTAACATTTTCCCTGATCCCACATTCTCCTAATTATGTCTATGCTTTCTTTAGCCTTACAAAGGACGAGTCCAAAAGGCCAAAGTACAAAGAGCTTCTGGTGAGTTCTCAGTGCTGCATCTTTCAATGTCTCCAACACACAGCTCACAGGGGGCTGGGCTCAGGCAGAAGTGAGATCTGGAGCTGGGCAGCAGCAGGGCCTGTATGTGGGGAGGTGCTAAAGGAGAGAGCAGCAATGCTTTTGGCTTGGGTCAGTCACATGTGGCAACTTCAAGGGGCTCTGGGCACCTGGAGGGCACCTCTTGGAGGCTGTGGTTCCACAGTCAGCCCCGGGGCTTCACATCACCTGTTGTGAAAGGGGTTTGCCTCATGTCCTGGCCCAGAACCTCCCTGATGTTCTGTCCCAGCTCTCTGACCTGGCTCTGTCCATTGCTGCCTGCTGGGCAGAGCAGAGGGTGAGGGCTCAGGAGAGCAGAGCTTGCGTTTGGCCTCTGCAAGGCACTCCCTGTCACTCCTATCACTGTCCCCACTGTGACAATGCTGCTGATGAAACCTCTCCTGAAAGGATTTCAAGAAATGTCAGTGCTGCAGAGGAGCTGCTGATTCTGCACCCTCACTGCCTCCTGCCTGGCAGCTCCTGAGCTCTGCAGTCCTGTCCTGCCTCAGAAACCTCCCATGTTAAAGAGATGGATCTACCAGGCTGTGTCCTGGTGCCCTAGAGCCACCACAAACCATGTTCTTGCACCAGACAAATTCCCCTGCTTAGTTTTTATCTGAGAGGCACATGCCAGGAGGGTGACCATAACCTTGTTGTTTTTTTTAATCTGCTTCCAGAAACATCCCTTCATCCTGATGTATGAGGAACGCACAGTGGATGTTGCATGCTATGTTTGTAAAATCCTGGATCAAATGCCAGCAACTCCCAGCTCTCCAATGTACGTGGATTGATACTGCTGCTACATCAAACTCTAGAAAAAGGGCTGAGAGAAAACAAGCTGTAAAGAATTTTCATCACATATTGCAGTGTTTTTAATGCTCGCCCAGACACCATGTGCAATAATATTGGTGTTATTTCCATCCTGTCTGTATACTGTTGTCACATATAAAGTGCATCCCTGTAATACCTGATCACACAGTGTTAGTGTTGGTCACAGAGAGACCTCATCTTGCTCTTTTGTGGACATATTCATGAAATGTGGAAATAAGTACATATATTTGTTGACTGTGATTGGATAGCACCTAAAATTCATTTCTAGACTCAAAACTTGGAGACTCCTCAGCAGCTACTGGAAAGATTTTTCTCTCAAACTCTTCCGATTGTTGTTTCAAGTAATAATAAAAAGCAAACAAACAAAAGTTAGGCGTTGTCTGTCTGAACATTAAGAGACTTTGCCTGGAGGGAGAAGAACTTGCTTAACCAACGAGATACTTTGCCTTCTGGAGCTGGAAAGGCAAAGGAGAATTTTATTCTTCACAAAGTGCAATAGATTTACTGCTATGAAATTCTGTTGCTTTACAGTCGCAGTGTACTTTCTGGGGACAGTGTGCTCAGCTGAACTTCCTGTTAAAGAGAGATCATGTTAAATATAGTGAATATGTCTTTACCAAAAATATGTTGCGTTGAAAGAGGCTAACATTAAACTATTGAGATGGGACATAATGTATTCTTCCTCCTTTTACCAAGCCAGCCACTCTTCACTCTTAACTAGGTGTCCTGTAAATTGTTACCTGGTAAGATAAGACCTTTGACCTGAAGAATTATTAAACTACTTGATTGAATTTAACCTGCTTGTTGACCTGGTTTATAGTGCACAGTGCTCACCACCCACTGGCTTTGCTTTGCCTTCACCCAGAGCCATCCACAGAGTCTGCAGCTGCTTGAGTGGGCCACCAGCTGATGGCTGAGAGTCCTGGCCATTGTTTCTCGTGTCCCTGCTGTCCCCAGCCCTGCTGCTTGCACCTATGGCACGGCCCAGCCCTCCCAGCCCGTGTCCTGAGCTCCTGAGTCCCACCACAGACCTGAGCTCTTCTCCTTGCTGGCAGGATGGAGGGGTGGCCCTGTGCCCAGCACACCCTGCTGAGCTGCTGGAGACACTTCAGCACCATCACCTGGAGACTGAACCTCCTTGGGACCTCCACAGCTCCTGGTGCTGCACCCTGAGCAAATCTCTGAGGTTGTGGGGTGCAGAAGGAGATGAGGTGGAGGTTAAGGAGCTTCCAACTCCTCTCAGCTGGCCCAGCAAGGCCAGGCAAGCTCTTGTCTTCTGGTCCATTGCCAGGCAAGCTGTCATCTTCTGGTCCACTCCTAGGTGAAACAGCACATCAGGCTTTTCTGTTTGCTTAATTGACATATTTTTCAAAGATTAATTTTTCCCAAAACCTTTTTCCCTCCCCAGATATTGCAGTTTTCAGGTGTTTAGTAGCACACCAGGGATAAAATGGAGGCTGCAGGGTCTCTGCTTTCCGTTCTGAGCTGATTGAGGTGCTTGGTAGGACTTCATCAGTGTTAGAGCAGCCTCCCATCAGAGCTCAGCAGCAAGCTGGACACAGAGGGAATGAAAACACCGTGGTGCTGGCAGGATCCCCAGGAAGGGCTCCCCACATCCACCAAAGCCACCATGCACAAAGCAGCCCGAGGCTGCGTGAAGAGCAAGCAGCACAGCCCAGCTGGGAAGGAGAGCTGAGGCCCTGGACACAGCTGCTGTCTGTCTGTCTGTCTGCCATGGAGGTGACACATCCTGGGGCTCCTGCTGGCTCCCTTGGTGCTGCCCTTCCTGGACTGTTCCTCTTGGGCTGCTCCTCGGGCAAGGCAGAGCTTTCTGCAGTCCCTGCTCCTCCTGACAGCTCTGGTGCATCCTGCACGGAGATCAGTCAGACCATGCCTGCCTAAAGCAGCCATTGTGTGCCCACCCCAGAGCCTTTCTCAGGCAGATCCCCGTGGAGCTGGGGTTCCTCTCTCCAGCCCCTGGAGCGGCACTGCAGGTCCCCAGGGCTGCTGGCTGTGGGGATGGGGAGACCCAGACCCAGCAAGGGCAGCCACAGCTGGGGCTTCACCCTCCCTCTGGTGTCAGACTCCTCTTGGCAGCAGCAAACCCACAAACCTCTCAGAGGGGCAGCACTGTGATGGAACCTCCCAAAACACACAGGACTGCCTTGTTCTGCCTGTGGGGATGGCTGGGTCTGTGCTCTGGTGCTGTCCCATCTCCAGCCCAGAACCAGCTTGCTGGGAATGCTTTGAGCTGCCAGTGACAGGAGGGAGGTGCTGCTGTACAGGACAGGTTTAGCCTATTCAACACAGATTCTTATAAATTACTAAGGGTGCACCATTTATTGCAATGTATCTATTAAAGAAAAAAAAAAAAAGAAAAAAAAGGTGTATAGTGTTCAGAAGCTGTGAAAATAGTGTAAGAACTGTACATTGTGAATTCTGGTTATTATTTTTTTTTCTTGTACCATAGAAAAAAATGTATAAAAATATCAAAAAGCTGATGTGCAGGGATGTTGCCTTATTGTCTGTAAAACGAAGCTCAGGAACATAACTGCTTCAAAGAGCTTCCGAATATTTTATCCGGTCTCCTGGTTCGACTTCCTCCTCTATTTAAGCTATTCTACATGGATCAGAGTGTTTATGTAATAGTTCTATCCTTTTGCTTGCAGGTCAGTTGTAATAAAACTAAGATGCGACTGTGACCTTGTTATTTTCATTTTGTAAGGTCAGACATGAAGGGGAAGGTTCCCCAAGAGCTGTGGAACACCTGCCTTCCAGGTGGAAGAGGAAAGCAACCTTCAGATCTTGTGCCAAATGAAGGAGGTGAAGGGAGCTCTGGATGTGTTTTGTCCCTCTGGAATGAAGGAGGTGAAGGGAGCTCTGGATGTGTTTCCTCTCTCTGGAATTCTGCTGGGCCCTCTGTGTTTGGGCTCCTCTCAGACAAGCAGTGTTTGCAGCACAGGGAGGTCCTGGTGGCTCAGGACACCTTGTCCCTGTCAGGAGGGCAGGGGGCTCTCACTGTACGACACGAAAGAACATGAGCACACACTGCTGCTCTCAAGGTGAAGAAAAAGGGAAGTTTATTTTCTGACTCCAACATTTATAGTTTTCCAAAAGTGACCATGGATTGGAGGGTGACAGTGCCACCTCTCCAATGACACTGGACAAACCAACAGTCCATCAAATTTCTCCTCTTCTATAAAGGAATGCAAAACAATGAGTTATTTACAGAAAGTGTGTGAGAAAGTTCACTACAAGAATGTCAACATCAGAAGGCTTAGAAAATCTTAAAAAACCAGGGTGACGGGGGGCTGTGCCCACCCTCCAGGGAAAGGGCAGGTGGAGCTCCCAGCTCTGATGGTTGCAAGGTCTGCAGAACCCAGATGGACTCAGAGTCCTGGGTAAGTCCTGGTGCTGGGAGGTCTCCTCTGCTGGAGGCTGTGGAGGGTTTGGAATCTGCCCAGTCAGAGCCGGACCCCAGCAGCCCCTCTGGGAAGGAAGAGGAGCTGGTCAGGAGTGCCTGTCCTGCTGCACTGGGCTGGATGGGACAGGCCAGGGGTGCCCAGCCCAGAGAGGGAGAGCAGAGCAGCCTGCAGGGATCCCTGCTCATGGCAGAGCTCAGGATCAGGAATAGCTGTGTGGGAATGTTCCTCACTCGGAGTCAACAAATGTAGAATTTGCAGGCAACCCCAACAAGGGAAGAGATGAGAATCTTGACTCCATGTTTCAGAAGTCTTTATTTATTATTTTTATATATATTATATTAAGAGAAAAATGATATATTAAAACTATACTAAAAGAATAGAAGAAAAGGTTTCATCAGAAGGCTTGAAAGGAAAAGGAATAGAATGATAATAAAGTCTTGTGACTGACCAGAGAGTCTGAGACAGCTGGACTGTGATTGGCCATTAATTAAAAAGAACCACATGAGCCAATCACAGATGCATCTGTTGCATTTCACAGCAGCAGATAATTATAGTTTGCATTTCATTTCTGAAGCCTCTCAGCTTCTCAGGAGAAAAAGTCCTGAGAAAAAGGACTGACACAAATCACTCCATCTTTCCCTGGGCTCAAAGCGAGGTAAGGAAAGGTTCCTCAATGCTCTGAGGAACAAGGAAAGGAAAATGCTGTATTTTGCCTTTATGTTTACAGCTGTGCAAGTGCTTGGAGAACGAGATGAAGCACAAACTCCCTCTCCTGGAGACACACGGCACTTTCTGCTGGAAACAGAACAGCAGGGCAGTCTGGGCTGTTCCGGGGGACATCTGCCAGAAAACCTTTGTCTTGGCATAAATCCATGCCTCCCATCAGGAGAACGTGGCGTGGCCAAGCAGGAAACTCCTGTTCAAATTGAGCAGAAGAGCTGGGTGCAGCGGTGTCACCCTGCAGGTGTGGCTGTGCCTTCCTTCCCCCTTCCCTTCCCTTCCCTTCCCTTCCCTTCCCTTCCCTTCCCTTCCCTTCCCTTCCCTTCCCTTCCCTCCCCGGAGAGGTTTGGGGTGTGTGGGAAGGCAGATATGGACACTGAGAAGATTTTCTGGCTTTCAGGACTGTGTGTGGTAAATCCTGTGGTGCCTGTGGGGTTCCATGTGGAGGGAAACTGCCTGAACCATGACCTGGGAGCTGCTGGGGAGATGCTGAGGATGTCTCAGTGCCTGTGGTGGGGGAAGCACTGCATGGTGAACTGAGACAGGCAGCTCATATTTTAAAAATCTTGCTAAAGGCATGAAAAATGTTAATTTGACTCTCAAAACATTGTTTGCTTGTTTGTTTGTTTGTTTTGCATTACTTCTGGTGTGTTTGTTTGTTTTTTCTGGCAGGAAGATGAAGGGAGAGCAGGGCATCACTGGGATCCTTCAGCTTGGTGTTGAGAGAAGGCAAAATCCCAGACCCCCAAATTCCTTGGGACAGGCTGTGTGGGACGATCACCTACACATGGAAGACTGAGTGAGGGCTGACTCAGGACAGTGGAGGGGAGGGGTCCCATCCCACTGGCACACCCTCTGCTTTCCCTGGAGGCTGCTCCAGGCTGGCTGCAGGACCAGGGGCCCAGGCAGAGCTGGGCTGAGTTCTCCATGCAGCAGAAAATCCACTGCTGGTGTCCTTTGGGGCCTGGCAGGAGACTCAGGACACCCTGTGATCCCTTTCTCTGCCAGCAGCTGCAGCCTGGTCTGGACTCAGCCTCCCCAGGTGCTCTGCTCCAAACCTTGGCACCTGCCAGGCATCCCTCCTGCCCTCAGAGCTGCACCATTCCCTCTGCTCTTTGCCTCTTGCCTTTCACAGCAGCACGGGCAGGCTCTCCCCAGCAGGCAGACCGGGCAGGAGAGTGCTCCACTCCATGGTAATTCCTGAATTAATCCCAGGCTGAGATTTGTCTCCTCATCCTCTGAGTGACCCCAACCAGGCTGTTCATCACAGCCCACCTGGCTGCAGGGTGTGGTTAGACATTAAAGATGTTCATAGGAACTGGTTAATTGCTCATCTGCATCTTTTCAGGTGCACTTGAGCCATGTCTCAGGACCATTTCACCTTTAGCCCACCTGGGCAGTCCCCTCCTTGCACACAGGTGAGCAAGTGCCTGGGAACCTTTTCTAATCAAAGGGAAGATGTGACAAATGTGGAAACAGACACTCAGGGCTGCTGTGGAGAAGGATCCAGGATTCCCCAGGGTCCCAGCCTGCTGTGCCTGTGGGCAGGGGGAGGTTTGGTTGTGGCAGAGCTGCACCCTGAAGCCACCAACCCAGTGCTGACACAAACACCAAGGGGCTTGGGCAGGGGCTCAGCTCTGCCTGTAGGGGC